TCATCGCATTTAATTCCGTTACGGCATAAATTATAACCAAAAATATATGTGTGCCTTGGAAAAGCGTGTTTGAAGTAAGCGTAAAACATTTAGTCATGCAATAAATTCATCTCTCTTTCTGTAGAAAAGTTATGCATTCACTTTCAGAGTTTTTTTTATATTGTTCTCAGTTGTAAACTATTGTTTATACCTTCATTCGCATTTTAACTGAATGACTAGTTAAATCCTTGAGTTTTTTCTTCTTCTCTCCATAATATGATTTTTCCTCGCCAAATATGCGAAAAACGATGATAAAGATGATTTTTATTAGTTTATGTTGCTTTTCAAAGTATCAGACATTATATATATATATATATAGCTATTAAATGAATTTTCACCTTTGCGGCACTTTGAATCANTATATATATATATATATATATATATATATATATATATATCGGTGAATGTTGAAAGCAGATAGTCGCTTTGGTAAATGTCCGAAATATATACTAGGTCTAGTTAAGTGCCACTGCCCGGTATACATTTGCTCGTTATACCCAACATCAATGTTTTTTTAAAATGATGTCACTGCCCAGTATGCATTTAACTGGTACTCCGAACACTGAAGTTTTTCCTGATCTATTCGAAGCAGACATTAAAATATCGAAAAATATAATAATATCATGGAATAAATTAATATCAAATCAGATATAACAAATAAAAAATGCGGAAAACACTTGATTCCGCACTTTAACTTTTTTCTCAGTACTTTAGTTGATCTACAGATTTAAGTAAAATGCATTTTTGTGGCTTTCGAGCTTTACAGGTAACCTATATAAATCGGTCAAATAAGACGATTTTTTTTCTTTCATTAAAACTTATGTTCAATAAAAATAGAACTCTAAAATTTGCAATCTTTCAGCAAATGGTATAGGTTACAGTATTTGCTAAATCACAACGAAATCCTAACTCTTTCCAAGGTTTATTCATAATGATGTAGAAAATCTTCAGCTGCTAAACGTGAATTTGATAACAGCTGTAAAGATTCCTGTTTGAGTGTGTATAATAAGGTTTAAGGACATGTTAGAACTTTTGTCACCAAGAAGACGTATGATATCATCATAAAAATACTCTAAAAGATCCCACTTTATAGCATTTATGAAAGCATTATTTTACAAGTTTAAATTTGTTTCGAGTAGCGTCAAATTTCTAAGGAATTTTTTTACACTTTGTTACTTTTCGTTATTATAAATCCGTCACAGTTTATAACCTAATTTTCAATTTATAACCTAATAAAAGAATATTTCTTTTTCTATTTTATCAGAGTAATGAATTAATTAGAATAATGTTTCTGAACCAGAGGTAAGGAAATGGATGGCGCATAACGAATTATTAGTTATTTTCAATTTTAATTAATAAACAAATTTTTATAAATCATAAAATAGTGTAAAGCTGTAAAATTATCGAAGGTTAACAACAACGAACTTTAATTTTAAAGGTAAGAAAATTCTTTTAAATTATGTAAACTGACTTTTGAATTTTCGAAAAATACTTATTAATTTTTTCTGAAATATTGAATTTTCCCCCCACTTTTGCGAAAAGTTTCGTTAACCCGCCCGCAAAGAAAAAAAAAATGTTTTTTTCTAAGCTAGCGTGAGCTAACGATTTCCTATAATATTCATAAGTTGTCGGTAGTGATTTTATATAGTATTTCGTTAAAAATAAAAGAAAAACCTAAATTAGAGGAACTTATTTTCGATAAAAATGAGTAAAAAAAAAAAAAATTGCATAGCAACATAGACCTTCAATTTTTTTCCTCTCTGTGCTGAAGTTTTTCTTTCACAACATTCTTTATGTGCGTTTATAAAACTTTTCTCTTTACGCCTAAACGATGTATAAAAGGAAACTATGCTGACACCTTGATCCCTATGCCACCAACCTCAACCCCACCCCCTGTACAAGCCCCCTACAACATCAACTCAAATCGGTACACACCCATGTCCTTGTCCCGACCGAGAAAAATTTCACCGCCTCCTATATTCGACAGGCTGAGCAGATACGCTTTTTTTTTTATTCCATACATCCCCCTTCCCCCCACGTCATCATGGTAGGCCGTTTTGTTGCGCGAGACGAAGTTCTCACCGACCGCGTAATTAGTTGCCACGCACGCACCGGGAACATTTTCTCCCAACCCCGTCCCCAGTAGGTTATTTTCTACTTTTTTATATTTTCGAACGCTTTTTTTTTTTCGCCATCCCTCGTCCGTCTCGCCTGACAGGCTTCTGTCCAAACCACGTGGTATTGAGTTGGATATATTCGGAGGACCCTATACAAAGAAACCTAATGAAGCGGGCACTCCATTCGATGTACGTCTTGGGCAAGAGGTTCCATTTTTTTTCTTTTTTTATTGTTAATTTTTTGATGTTGGGGTAACGCACCCCGCTGTCGGAAGGGTGCTTCTCATCAGGAAGGGGTGTACCACATATGGAACAATTTTGTGAATGAGTGATTTCAAAACATTAATAATTCCAGTTAAGTGAAAATTGAGAAAAAATATCCGTTAAAATTTGTTTGAAAAATTTTTATACGAAAAATTAACCGAGGCTTTTAAGTTACTAAAGTTTGTTTAAAACTGTTAAAAAAAATTTTCAATTGATTTTTTTTTATTTTAAATTATTTGATGTTAGAGTAACGCACCCGGTGGGGTGCTTCTCATCAGGAAGGAGTGTACCATATATGGAACAATTTCGTGAATGAGTGATTTTAAAACATTAATAATTCTTGGTAAAAATTAGGGGGAGGGGAATCAGTTAAAATTCACTTAAAAAAATTAAAAATGATAAATTTAACGTTGTTTCTAAGTTATTAAAATTTGTTTAAGACAGTCCAAATTAATACAATTTAAATTTGAACAAGATTTTGTTTCAAGTTAGGCCTATTTATGATTAGCGCATTTTATAAAATTGATTTTTAAATATTTTATACTTAAAGCTTTTTTTTTCCTATAAGGTACTATTATAAATAAAATATTTAATGCACAATTTCTATAGATACAATATTGTAGAATACGCCAATTCTGTATAACTTGCAGTACTTAGAGCAAAGTTCAAAAATTTTACCATATAAGGATAAACATATCGTCAAGTATGTCAGTATAATGTTAAGTATGTTAGCTAATAAATATTTACATCTGATGATATTTTTCTAAAAATAAAAGTCCATTTAAAAAATAAGTCATATCTATCTCAAAATTAAGTTATTTATTTAATCTGTATAATAAGCTATGCAAAATTATTAATATTTTATTTTATTTTACACCTTGCTAGAAGAAATTTATTTATTTTATTAAATGTAACTAATGGTTGCTTTATTATTTATTTATTTTTATTTATCATGTAGTTTAGAATTGTATCAAAATGTTTTCAACTAGCGTTTTTGTTAAAGCAGAACTAATTTTATTCATCATAAGAATTGAAATCTTTATAACGTTACAATTAAGCGGTAAATGTTAAATAAAGTTATTTTAACTTCGCTAAACATTATTTTGTTAATTTTGATGTAAAGACACCGAAGTGTTACTTTAATTTTCAATAACGATGATTCAACGCTAACTATGTTAACTTTTTCATCCAACGTTAGCGATGTTAACTTTTTCCTTCAACGTTAAACGATGTTAAACGTTCATTCTACTTTAACGATGTTTTATATATTAACTTTCTTTCAACGTTAATATTTAATAAAATTATTTTACATAACTTTAACATAAAGTTACTTTAACGTAATTTTGTTACCTTTACTGCACCTACTTTAATGTTACTTCCGTTTACTGCAACAACGTTTTTCGAATCATGTCTCGCGGAATTAAATTTTTCATTTGTATTGTCAATTTCTTATCAATTTTCGTAATTATTAAAAAAAATTAGCAAATGCTAATTTTTAAAAATTTGTAATTAAATAAATTATAATCCTCCTTCACTATAAGAAGACGCTAAAAATGAATTTGGGAATAATTAACTTCACTGTCTGTAAATATAAAACTCGAACTATTTAATCGTTAAGACCATTACTTAAATTACCATGTCTAGCTAATTTTATATAATTCCTAATTATCTTTTTTTCCGCATTAGATTTTAAACAGCTATGTAATTTTGCTTGGGGGTTAATCTTTTCTCTTAATAATCCTTATTTCTAATGTTTATTAAAATCAATTAATCAGCTTGTATTACTTTGTCATATTAGCGTTTAAATAATGTATTAAAAACGTCTTTAAACAAAAATAAGGTATGTAAGTAAATAATAAAGTGGAGCCATTCAAGCCGAAAATGCCCGAAACGGCAGAAAACATTTTTATTGGTGGTTTTCTAGCACTTTCACTTTCCGCTCTGTCAAACAAAAATATGAAAATCCCCGGATATTAACGCTCCCCCCCCCTTCCAAACTCTCATCAAAATAAATACAAACGATAGGAGGCGAGGTGTAGTGGCAACATTAAAAAGATTGCAAAAATCTTTCTATTTTTACACGGGCGATTAGCTTCTTGTTTAATGATCATGGCGAGTTAAAAGCCACAGTTGATAATTAGTGGTAAGAGCCCTTTCTCAAAGCGCTTTTTATCGAATTACACTTAAATAAGCGCTTCCGTCTTAATGAAGGGTTAAATTAAGAAGGGAGTAAAAAAATTGTGACGTTGGGGGGGAGGGAGAGGGGGGGGTTGGGTGACACAAAGGGCGGACCGAATGTTGACTCTGTCTTGTTTTTCGGGTTCCGACAATATGACACCTTACTGCGCAAATAATTCTCTGCTCATTACTAAGCGACCGCCGCTTAAGCGATTCTTTCAGCTCGCGTTATTTGCAGAAGAGAAGGGAACTTCCAAAAAATGCGCCACCGCCGTTTCTCCCAGAAGGCGTGGCGGCCGAGTACCACCGCATTTTGAGTGACGGCTGTCAATTTTGATGACGTCACAGACGTGTACGCCCAGCGCCGAGAGCGCCGCCGATTGGCTTCCACCGCTTGTAGGTACCACGTGGGTTTAGGCAAAGTGAGAGGGTGCGGGCAAAGCTTTGAGGACAGTCATGTTTGTTGATAGGGCCGATCGGTGAGTGCGTTGCTGTGTGTTTGCCTGGCTATACCTCGTTTTTGTGCGGCGCGGGGGGCAGAAACCCCGAAGAACACGGTGGACTGGAACGCCGAATGTCATGTCGCCCGTTGGATACTCCTGAGATGGCGACGCCGTGGTATTGATTTGGCGGTGAACCTTGGCGACCATGTATCCGAACCGACACCCGGTGAGTTAACCCTAAAACCTTCGCCCTAATAGAGCCTCTTAATTGTTCTCGCCTCTCCGCTTCGCCTAATGAATTTCACTCATTACTTGGCTCCGCTTAAAAGATCGCTATTCGCCGATCATTTCCGAACTACTTTTATATTTTTACGTTCGGGCTCTTAATTTTTTAATCGAATCTTCGTGGTTAATTCCATGCTTCTGCTTTAGGAGCAAATTTAAGTTAATTAGAACTTTTTTTTAACTTGTTATTTAATTTTCGCACATCGTAGATGTTTTAAGTCGAAATGCAAATGTGCTTGTTTAAGAGTCGTTGCCAATATTTTTTTTTCTTCCTTTGGGTAATTGTTCGACAAAACCAGTTAGGATGTTTGAAGTTTCTATTATTTATGTTTTGTTCTTTTAGCCCAGGTTTATTTGGACAAAGGAGTTTTTAATGTGCCTTAAGAATTAAGCAAAAAGTTTTCTGTTTTGCTTAATTACTTAAATTGTACGTTTGTAAGTTGGGTATTGATTTCTAAGTGATATTTAGGCTAATTATTGCTGGGTTTTTTTCTGTGAATTTGTGCTTTCCAATTACAGTTTAATAGTTCAGTAAATCAGCAATTTCTTTACGTTTTAATTTCTTAGAAAGAAATAATGATTTGCTTGAAACGTCACTCTTTAAAAAGTTTAAGAAAACATAAAATTTAACTCTGATTTTTCTTTTACCCCCTAGTTATTTAAAATCAACTTATAAGTTGCAGGAAAAAAATATTTTTTAATAATTATAATTATTCATTCCTTATAGTTTTTAAGTGCTCAATATTGCTAATAAAATTTGTTTTGTTAACCAAGTATTACAACTGCAACTTTAAACATCTTAAGCATTGACAAAGACTGTCACGATATTACTTGTAAACTATTATGTTTAAAAACTTTTATCTAAAATTTTGTCTATTTTTGAGAACAGATAATTTGCATTTAAAAAGTTTTGTCACGAAGTGTACGTATAAATTTTCTAAAAAAAACTAGCTTTAAGTATATTACAAAATATATACTGCTAATAATTAATTTTTTTACGTGTTTTCATACTTTAATTTGTATTGTGCAAATCGAAAATTGTAGAAATACACTAATAAGTTAATTTTTTGTGATGAAATGAAATTTTTTTAAATTTTTTGCATCTGTGTTTGTTGCTCGTATTAGTTCTAGCAGAGTTGATATTAAAAACAACATAAAAATGATCTATTTTATAGCTTTAGCTACATAAATAAACTTAAATAATTTATTACAACATGTATTGACGAAAATTCATTCAAACATGTTGACATGTAAGTAAAAATTGTGTATCATACTTAAATAATTTATTACAACATGCATTAACGAAAATTCATTCAAACATGTTGACATGTAAGTGAAAATTGTGTATCATACTTAAATAATTTATTACAAGATGCATTAACGAAAATTCATTCCATCATGTTGACATGTAAGTGAAAATTGTATATCATACTTAGATAATTTACTACAACATGCATTAACGAAAATTCATTCAAACATGTTGACATGTAAGTGAAAATAGTGTATCATACTTAAATAATTTATAACAACATGTATTAACGAAAATCCATTCAAACATGTTGACATGTAAGTGAAAATTGCGTATCATAATCACAATTCCTCTTTTTAAATGACTTAAAATCGAAGTTATTTGACAGAAAAAATATTCAGTGTTAAATATTTAAAAAAAATGGAGTACATTTTTTATCACAGCTCTGGAACGAATATTTAAAGAACTTTTTTAGGCTTAATTTTTAAATTTTTAACAACTGTAAGTTTGGAATATTTTTTAAATACCAATCCTATCCTATCCCTATGCACAAAAGTTACAGTTAAAGCTTGGACACTTTTTGGAAAGTTTAACCAGCGAGGGAATTATATTAGAAATTTGTTCTAAAAATCTTTTGTAAATCTTTTTCTAAAAACAAGTTTTTAAAATTTATATTACATAAATTTTTGTTGTTGTTGTATGGTTAATTATTTTTTTAACGGCACATTCAGTGAGCACATTTCCTCACTGAATTATAAACTATAAATGTAATTAAATAAATAAATGTGGTCGAAAAGTCAAATATTTAAAGTGAATTTTTTATGAACAATAAAATAGTAATATGATAAAATTAAATTGTTAAACATTAAGTCCCTCAAAAAAACAATATAGTTATTGTGAATAGTTCAGTTACATGAATATGAATAGTTCGATTATATGAAGTTATGTGAATAGTTAGCTATCAATAAAAACAAATTATAATTCCCTGAAGAATTTCTCATGATAAAATCAAAAATGACGCTTTTATTTCTAAACAAATAGACTAATGTATTATAATTAAAGTGTAACCTTAAAATCAGTTTCCGTTTTAGTCATAAAATAAAGTGCGGAAAGTATCGTTTTGGTGTGGATAATATGTTACGACTGTTGCTAAGTTTTCAATAGAAATATTAAGTGAAATGTCTTTGTTAATGTCGTGATAAAAAAACAAAACAAATTGAACAATTTAAAACAATAAAAAAAAATAGCAACAAAAAACGAAAAAATTAAATTGTTCGTTTTGTTTTTAGATTTATCATGATATCTATATATGATTATATGTTTTGATATTTCGATGTTATTAGATTTCGTAAATTAGTTAATAATATACATTATGATTAATAAGCTTATCGTTTTTAATTATTAATGGTATCGTTTTTATTGTTTATACTTATAGCCAAGTTATCTATTTTAAACTTGTTAATCAGAGTAACATGTTCAACTTTTGACAGATTTAGTGTGAAGATAATAGTTAATTTAATTTATATATATTGTTTGATATAATATGAAGCATTGATAGAAATCAATGCTTCATATTATTTATATTAATCACTAAATCACCTGCTTTAAACATGTTAATCAGAGTAACATGCTAAATTAATTATTAAATTAGCTTGTCAGCATAAAGATTAAGAAATGCATTTATTTTCTTACTACTACTTTATATTATTTTTGTTAATCACTAAATCACTTGTTTTTAACATGTTAATCATCTAAACATAAAACTTTTGACCAAATTAGTTTATAGTTAACATGAGGATTATAAATTTGTATTCTTATTATTAATATTTCATATAAATTATACTGATCAACAAATAACCTGCTTTGAACATGTCGTAATAAATAAAATGATGGAAAACATTTTTATTATCAATATTTTATATTATTTATACTAATCACCGAATAAAAACATCTTTTTCAGTGAAATGTGGGAAATTTATGATCAAGATATAATATAGTCAGCATGAAAAGCATTGTTTATAAATAGGATTAAAAATTGTTTATACATTTTTATTAGTTCATATTATATTTATTGATTATCAGTTTTAAACATGTTAAACAGCGAAACACGTCAAACTTTTGACTAAATCAGTTTTCAGGCATAATGATTAAGAAATATAATTCTTTTTATTCATTGTTCATATTATTTGTTTCAAATGATAGGAATGCATCAAAATTTTACAATTCAATCAACTTAAATAAAAAGAAATGGCTTTTAAAATCGCTAACTTGCATAAAATAAAAAACAAGAATTTGATATCATTTCCATACATTTACAACATTTAAAATTGCTTAATATTAACATTTTACTAATTTAATTATACTCATACATTTTATTTTTCAATATTTTTTTTTTCAATTGCAAACTTTATAACTAATTTAATTTAAACTATTAAATCGATTATTGACAATGCTGTTGTTAAAATAATTCTAAAATACTATTATTATTTTTTTTTATCAAATGATGTATGATTCATAAACAATGAAAGATGATTAATATGAATTGAATACGTGAGTCATTCAATTCATATGTCAATTAAATATGTCATTCATATGTATCAAATGTTGGATTCATATGAAATTAAAAAAAAATTTATTGGATATTTCTGCATATTTTTGAATTCAGTTCTATGAGAAACATAGATATAAATTACTTGATAGCATTTTTAAAATCATTCCAAGACGCTAAATTAATTCCATCCGTAAAAAGTCCCTTCTATGTTAGCTCATGAATCATTTTAATACTTTGTATTATTGAATTAAAAACTAATAAATAAATATTTTTACCTCAATACTATATGATATGTTGTATCAATCAATGAGAAAAAAGGATGATTAAAACTACCAGAATATGGTAAAATTTAAGTATGTTTCTGGCTCTACGGTAACACCAAAAAAGCACCGTATTTTTTGTTGAACGCTTTGGTAATGACTTTGGTAAAATTAACAATAAAATATTGTTTTATAATATATGTTAAAATTATGTAAATGTTGTAAAGTTTGTTAGTTTTTTCCTGATAGCTTTGAGCATAGCATAAAAATCATTTATTAGGTTAAATTTACTTTTCAGTTTTGTATTCTTTTTATACGTGTGTTAATAAGAATCATAATTTTGAAAATCAGAATTTTCATTAAACCGTTACCATATGAACGGAAAAATTACCAAATTAATGGTTTAAATATCTTATATTTTTGTTTTATTAACCAGAATTATGTTTTGTCATAACAGAAATGTCTTTACCGTACAGTACGGTAATTTTACCAGAATTTTTTTTTCTTCCGTGATAATTTATCAGTTTGAAAAAGAAGTAACTGCTTTTTTTTTAAAAATCGTTACTAGTTGTTTACATTACAATAGAAAATGTTTGAATTCATAGTTAAATGTATTATTGTTTATTGTATGATTGGGACACAATGAAAAGTTATGCAAACGAAAAAATTAAGTACTAATTTAAAACATTTAAAACAGCTGAAGTCAAACCTAAAAAACATTCATCGAAGATATATCGTTGAATAATGTTATGTTATTATTATAATTATGAAAATTTTATTGGAATAACTATGAAAATGTTTATTGGAATAATTTTTGAAGCATTTAAAAATGTTTGTTTGTAGTAATTTGAACATTTGACATTGATTGTTCCTGCATTTAA